CGCGGCAGAAGGTAAAAGGTGAAGAAGAGATGCGGACAGAGATACTCAGAACACGCCCGGGAGAAGAAAGTGTTTTCAGGTGATAGCGTCCAGCAACGTTCTTCAGGAAATGGCCCCAGGACTGAGTTTTCGGTGACTTTGAACCTGCAAAGCTGGGGTGAGAGGAACGTGGTGGGCAGAGGCGTGGAGGGGGAAGGGTACGGCAGCGCTGTCTTTCACGGAACTTTCCACACTGATGAAGTGTTTTATAATCTGCACTGTTGGGCATGGCAGGCACAAACCACGTGTGCCTAATGTGATGACGGAGCTGAATTTTAAAAATTTTATTTCATTTTAATTATTTTAAACAGCCATATGTGGCTAATGGACAGTGCGGGGAGTACGTATGAGATAATTTCCAACATGTAGAAAAGTTTGGGTGGTTTGGTAAAGGTATTTGTTTAATGTGTTTTTCCCCAGGCTGGTGGGCTCAGAAGACTTTGGAAAAATGTGCACCTTTTTAAAAAAGGCCTACTACAGCCATGTCCCAGCACACCACGTTAATCTACTCCACTGTTTACTATGCAGGCTACCACAGACTGTCACATACTTTATCTCAAGTGTTATTTACCAGCCGGGGACAGAAGTGGGAACGTGGCCCCCAATTCTGTAACTCTTCCCCCTAATCCCACACCCATGGGCTGAGCAGCACAATGAAAAGCCCAGATTCCCCAAGTCACTTCTCAGAGGACAGCTGACTAGGGTAGCAGTCTAATCCACTTTGGGCTGTGTGCTGAGCAAGAGATGCCCTCTGGTTAAAACACTGAGTTCTGGGGCTGTTTGTTACAGCAGTAAGTGTTAGTCAAAGTAAAATAACACACAGCCCAGTTTTCTTCCTAGGGTTTTTATTCTCACTGTAAGAGACTTATTTAAAGTGAACAACCATTTTCCTCTTTAATTATAACTACCTGGTAGCACTGGTGTTATATATTTCATTATCTTAATAATAACTCAGATTAAACCACTTATCTGAATTAAATCACCTCAATTTCTATGATTCGCCCTCAAATTTTCTAATTGTTAATTCTCTGGTTGTCAGGTCAGTGTTCTCTAATATTCATCTCTAGTTTTAGACCCAGAAATTAAATTTAGATCTCATCCATGTTGAATGCAATTAGAAATGTTCACTTTCTATTGTGGACACGCCAGAAGTTAAGATTCCGTATTGCTGCTTTGACAAAGTAAACTAGTCTAAGGAGAATTCTCTATCTTGAATTTGATCAGGAGAATTCTATTTATTTTTTTACTTAAAAGACTGTATGTGTTTATTTGACAGTGAGCGAGACAGACAGCGAGAGAGGGAGCACAAGCAGGGGGAGTGGGGGAGTGGGGGAGGGGGGAAGCAGGCTTCCCGCTGAGCAGGGAGCCCAATGTGGAGCTTGATCCCAGGACTCTGGGATCATGATCTGAGCTGAAGGCAGACGCTCAACAACTGAGCCACCCAGGCGCCCCAAGAATTCATGGTATTTATTGCTATCTTCACCCAAAGCAGCTAATAATTAAAATTCTCCCACTACACACATGGATTGGTATTTATCAGAAAGTTTACACAAGCATTAACCAAACTGTGAAGTAACAGGCTTTGTTATCCAAACAATTCTTTGGTATGGGATGACAACTATTCAGAGGCTGTTCACCTTGGAACATTTTCTTCTTAAATTTTCGATAGGTATTACTAAATTTTCTTGTTGAGGTGCCACAGAGACTTGTGAAGCCCTTGATTATTTGCTAATAGAAGTCTGCTTTCCCCCTAATAATAATTCTGGCTAACTAGCACTGTCCACAGTAACAGGAATTCTGAAATATCCCAATGTAAGTTAGAAACAGAGCACCCTCTTGAGCAGCGGGCTGGACTGCCAACCCTGACAGTAGACACACGTCAGAAACACCAGAGAGACCAAGCTGTGTCCATGTGGTTAGAACGAAATGGACCAAAATTTAGCCTTCCTTCACTACCGGGAAACTTGCATTCTTGATATTAAAAAAAAAAATCGCACAGGCTCTTCTTTCAAACAAACCCAATCCAAAACCAACATTGCCAAAAAGGAGTGGAGGACTAAACACTACTGATGTGAAATATAATGAATATTTTTGGTGTCCCTTAACACATGAGGCATCAACCACTGGACACTAATAATCACTAGTACTTTTGTCTCTTCTGACAAACAGCACAAGATCTAATTAGACTCTAGCGTGTTTAGGTGTTTCCACAACCACTGCCGTATCAATCAACTTCCACGGATTAATACAAGAAACGTACGGTCCACGGCCTAAGAGCAGATGCAGCTTCACTGAGGACTGTCCCCAATCCCAGTGATGTGTTCCACGAGTCTGCTACGCTGACCACTGCAACTCGTCGGCAGGCAGTGACGGTGACACAATTACAGGAGTCCCATCTTGCACAGGAATCACCTTATTTTTATGCCACTCCAAATAAAAAAAAGAAGTGCTTTCTGCAAAATTTCTCTTATTTTTTTTCTGTTCTAATTGAACCCAGGTCTAATCTCTCTTTCGGCATCACTAATGGGGAGGTAACAGATCATCCTTGATATCTCTGGGGTTTTTTGTTTTTTCCCTCGGCCCTATCTCTAGCGGAAAATGGGTAGAAATACAATCTGTGGAGGTACATGAAGCAAAACCGTGGTCAGTGCAACTGTCATGAGTAAGAGCGATTTCACTTAACCATATCTGAGGAGTGTTTTAAAATATGAAAGTTCTCTTCCCTTACCTCTTTATATGTATGAATTTACTTATCTATTTAAAGATTGTGTTTATTTGAGAAAGAGAGAGAGCGAGTGAGCATGGAGAGGGGGGCACAGAGGGAGAGGGAGAAACAGACTCCCCACTGAGCAGGGAGCCCAATGCAGGGCTCGATCCCAGGACCCCGAGATGATGACCTGAGCCAAAGGCAGAAGCTTAACCGACTGAGCCACCCAGGTGCCCCTACGTATGAATTTATGTGATTTTATATGAATTTATATGACAGTAACATCCAAAATATTTCTCTATAGCTGTAAATTTATAGGGAATTTTAAAAACGAAAACTTAAGTAGAAGGAAAAAGTAACAAAGGGCTGAAAAAAGACAAGCAGAGGGATGACAAAGTGGCATCAAATGGGGCATCTCATAAAAACAGTGTGAAGTACATGTTGCTTCTCGTTGCACAAATGAGGAGATTAAGACTCGGAGCAGTGAACCTGTCCAGGGTCACGGGGCTCCAGAATGGCGCGGCTGGGACCCGATCCCCAGAACCTCTCACTTGAGAGCCCACGCTCGGGCCCTTTGGACACTCCGCTATCACACAAGCATAAATGGGAGGCACGGTCGCAATGGTTAGGGAAACAACCCATACGTTACGTAATCATGTCAGCTCCGCTCTGCTGTGCTTGCTGCTCATGCTTCTAGCCTGCTTCCCTATTTTTAATCCTTGCTTCCGTGCTCCTTATCCTACTCTGCGCTTGTGACGACTGTTTCTCTCTCTGCTTCAAATGTAAGGTACCAACGGGAGCTTAACACCTGGCCTTGACTTAAATGATGCTTACATAATTAACTCTTTGTTTTTTTTTTTTTTTTTTTAAGTTAATGATTTAAAAACTTCAACCTCCCTCAGGGACTCTGCAGAACGCGTCCTGAAAACTCCACCGGTATTGATTCTCCAGGAATCCACAGGAAGGCTTGCTGTGAGCTCGGAGAGGCGGCCCCATTGTTTGCTTCCTGGCAACAGCTATTTATACCTAATTGTGTCGTCTGTTTGGACCTGGATGTTGTCTCTGCCCATACCCAGAAGTAGTTCAACTCCAAAAAGTCCAACTATTGTTTTTTCTTCTTATCTTTCAAATCTGTAACAATCTCTATCATCACATTCTCATAGTCTAAATGAGCCAAAAAAAAAAAAAAAAAAAGGAGCAATATCCTTTTGGAAGAAGAAGCTCAAACTGCTACTGAGGCAGGTAAGTCCAGATGTGCTCTCTGGGTCTCCAAGATGAGCAAGGGCGAGTGAGAGGTGAGGGGTGGCTGATGGCAGGAGCTGAATGCAGATAAAATGTTACTGAGGGCTTTTGTTTTCCTCCCAAGGAGCCCTAGAAAACCAAATTCCAAAGTAACCACGCATTGAGAGGGGGTGACCTTCATTATCTCAAATTCAGGAAAAACTTAATCTCTGTAGATCCCGGATTTCTGAAACCACGGGCCTTGGTCTCCAGCTGCTCCAGTAAAGCACATGAACTGGTCTGACCACTCTTCGGTATGTGCCATGACAGGGGACAGCACAGCTCGTACCTTTGGCCATTTTCTCGAATCAGTCAGGGAGGTACTGTGCAGTGGCCACCGAAAATAATGCACAGTATCCTTAAGCTTATCTCTTGCCTTGTTAAAAGACCGCAAAACCAAGCAATGTGTTTTTAGAAGCAAAACAAAACAAAACGATGCAATGTGCGTTATGACCAATTAAACCAGCCATTTAAAGATATCATTAAGAAAGCACTAGGTACCTTCCTGGTTTTAAACAATAAACCCCGTAAACATGTCAACTGGAAAAAAAAATTAATTTTCCCGGAATCATGCATTTGTAAACCTAAAGCAAACAGCGCCCTGAATGCTACTGAAAAGGAAGTGGCCTCTCCTGGGGGTGGGGGTGGGGGCAAAAAAAAAAAAAAATGGAAAGAATGAGAGAATATACAAAATGAACCTGGGAAGGTTTCCCTGAAACGAGGACTGGCCTCCTAAGTCCCCTTCCTGTATTAATTACTGCAAAATCCCTAGAGTTCTATCAGTTAATGAACCGCGAGCTAGAAAGAGCCACCGAGAACGGCGTTAAGCTTTCATTTCAAAGAACTCAGAGCGCGTGAGGTGCCCGAGCGAACAGAGAGCAGACACACGGCACGGTCAGCAGCCAGACGCGCTCAGCCCGGCTGACGGGAATGCGGATCGGGCGCTTGTGCCCCCGTGCACAGACACACTGACCTTCCTTGAGACTTTTCTGGTTGCTCCCCTCAAGGCATTCCTTCTCTTTTAATGGCTCGAAATCCCCAGCAGTCAAAATCTCTGGGAAGCCCTGTTGCTGCTTCTTGGAGCTATCGATCATGGTGAGAGGCTTCTGGAGACAGGCAGCATCCAGCAGGAGCGAAGCGCAATACGCCGAGCAGCAGAGACCGGCGCTCAGCACGCTCTGGTCCCCGGTCCCCGGATCCTGGGTCCTGGGTTCCTCCTCACGAGACCCCGGGCGCTGGGCAATTATGTCGTTAAGCAGCCGAAGGCAGCCATTCCCATTCAGTTCCCAGCCTGACCCGCAAACACACTTGTGCTGCTGGAAGCCCTAAACTCTCTCCCACGTTGGGAGGCAGAGCCCCAGAGGCACGATGCTGAAATCCCACCCCTTTTCCCAGCCAGCCCCCTTCCCCTTGCCATTCCAGCTTCCCCCGCGCGCTGGGTACTTCCAGCTGCAGTTTGATGGTCCGAATCATCTGACAAACACTGAGTCAAGCGGTTAAAAATAAATCCTGTAGTTGTTAAAAGAGAAGACTTTGCTGATACCTAAGAAGACAAATTTGCTGCCTGTGGTCTCTCGCCGGCTCTCTATAAACACACCCGCAGGCTGTGGAAATACTTTCTGTCAGCCAGACGAGCACATTCATTCCTCAGTAAGTTCTCCGGCGACACGGAGGGCACAGTCGAGGGCGTCCGAAGGAAGCGGGTCTTCTCCCAGCGGAGGGACCGCACTGCACAAACAAGCCGCCAGCGGCACTGCCTAACTCCCCAAGTTCTTTTGTGGCGTCCGGCTCCTCCTGGCAGAGCCAGGGCTCTTTGTAACAGGGAAACGTACTGCAATTGCGGCAGAAGCCGTCACCAGTCCGGACCCCAGCGGCAGTTTCCCTTTGTGCCACTAGTCGGCTGACCGAGTGAACATCGCCATGATTGTTCCGAGGGAAGGATCTCCCTCCCCTGTATTAAAGGCAGAGACAGCAAGAGAGCTTCTGTTTCAGAGCCGACCCAAGCGGCGGCCAGCCCAAGTTTGATCTCACGTGGGCTTTCGGCCACGGACTGCTGTCCCCCCTCTCCCCCGAACATGAGGGACGCTGCTGGGAGGAGATCTCTAGGGATGGCAACGCCAGGCAAATGCGGAGACAAGCCTGTCTGTAGACCCAGCAAATATATGTCCACCCATAAGCGGCCAAAAAGCAGCTTTTTTTTTTTTTTTTTTTGAAATGGCTCAAAGTATGCACCTTTGCAAAAGGGTTCCCAGAAAAGCCATGCGAGGTTGTTAAGAGCGGTAGATGGAATGTGCTTCCGTGAGGGCTACGTTTTGTTCACTTTTTTATAACCGACATCTACCAGAGTGCCTGGAAGACTAGTTCTCAATAAATACTTGTTGCACGATTAAGTAAATGAATTAAAGCAGGAGAAGCTGCAATAGGAAAACTTAATTGTTCAAAATTCTAAAGAAGTCCTCCATCCATGCCCAATAGTCAGCGATTTTAGGTGAAATGTTCTCTAAAGGAAGCACATTTTCTCTTCGAAAGAGAAATACCCATACATTTTGAGTGTGCATCTGACATGATCCTTCTGCGGGATGAAGAAAGGCTTATGTTTTCAAAGCCAGAAAAGCCCAGTATTGCTGTCCCCACTGAAACACAGATGGGAACTGGATGAAGATTCTGTCCTTTGTCCCTGGTTCCGGGGCTGGTGTGCACTCAACCCAGACTGTTCTAGAAAGATAGCGATCTACGCTTCTCCAGCATCTCTTGAGAATGGGATTACACAACACAGACATGGCTCTTGTCAACTGAAATTCCTTCTGAAGCAATGGAAGCCCAGTGCTGGGAGTCCACACCCCTGCAGGAACAAACAGCACTGAGCTTATCACACTTCTCGAAAACGCGCTAGAATGCTCTGCTCCTTTCTGATCCCAAGGCCTCTGTTCTACACTGACTGTTCCTGCAACTCTAAAGGAGGAATAAAAGCCTTTTTGAGGACATTCTTTCAGTCATTCACCTTTTTCGCAGTTTGGCAAAGTTTATCTCCCTTAACCCCCAAGAGCCCCTTCTGACTGCGATGATTATTGGTACATTCTAGCCATTTTACAGACCAGGACCAAAGTCACAGAGCAGCTGCAGAAGGTCTGGAGTTCAGCCAGTCTGAGTTCTCCGAAGCCCGAGTCTCTCTCCTACTGCAACGCTTGCTGTCCTCCAGAACATGCTCTGTCTCCAGGCTTTAGTCTGATCTCGGGACAGGTTTTCACAGCAGAAGCCATAACTTTTATGGCCTCCTAGTAATTCTGCTCCTGGTGAGGGAGAAGGAGAGCCAACATAACCCTGCTCAAATGCTTTCATGAAAGCACTTCCACTTTTCCTGAAACGAGAGCAGCAGCGGCCAACTTTATCCAGCGCTTGCAGGGTGACCCAGTCTAAGTGCTTTTCACAAGTCACCTCATGTGTCCTGTTGCCGGGCCTGGGGGTTCAACATCATCACAGTTCACAGATGAGGAAACCAAGGTCTCGAAAAATTGACTATTTTTGTCAGAAGTCCCCTACCATATACGTGGTGGCCAGGATTCCCAACCGGCGGCCTGGCTCCAGACCCCACATTCTTAATTACTTTGCAAAAATAACAACAAAAACAACAAACCCTAATATTCTCTTTCTCAGCATGCTGCTTTTTAAACCCCACTCAACTGTGCTGAGGCCACAAATTTAGAAACCTGGGTAGATACAGAACCACACCAGCCACTTCTATTTTTTTAGAAAAGAATGGCTGTGTGCTTGTGTTGAGTATGTTAAAAAATAAAACAGTTCTCTTTTAAGGACCCTCTGTAAGCTTATTATTTTTGCATCTGATAAATATAAAAAAATTTCAATAAGGAAACACATTGTCCTGCTGTGGGTTTATATCTAAAGTCTTGTCTCTGTAGTTCTGAGAGAAAAAAAAAATAATTTTTTTAGTGGTGAATATGCCTGAAGTAACATTTATTTTGGTATTTTTAAAAATGTGAAATAATTTCAAATTCACAGAGCATTTTTTCCTGAACCATCTGTGAGAAGGTTCTGACATGACACTTCTTTACCTTAAGCCCTCCGGTGTATAATTCCTACAAACAAGGACATTGTCCTATAAAACCCCAATATAACCATCGACATCAGGAAATCAACACCAATTTATCACCATCTAAAACAGAGACTCCACTCAAGTTCCACTAATTGTCCCGACATCATTCTTTAAGGCAAAAGGATCCAAACCAGGATCACGTACGGCCCTGAGTTATTTCAAGTCTCTTCAGTATTCCTTCATTTGTGAACAGATCCTCAGTCTCTCTTGACTCTTCCTTCCTTAAATTGTGAAGATTACATACTAGTTATTTTGTAGAATTGCCCTCAGTTTGAGTTTTGTGGTGTGTCTTCATGACCACACTCCAGTTACGGTAGGAATACCACGGAGCGGGCAGGGTGGGTTCTCTGCATCCTATTGTGTGGGGCACAAATCCAGTTCGTCTTCTAACTGACAATATTTGTTTTGATGAACGGATTAAGACGGTATTGGCCAAGTTTCTTCATTGTAAAGTTAGTTTTTCTCTTCGTAATGAATGATTTTGTGGGGTTGAACTATTTGTTACATAGGATGGTCACCAAATGGTGACTTAGAAAATTCTATCATTGCTTCTGCATTCATTAGAGGCACATCTCAGTGTAAGGAGACCCCCCCCCCCATGTGGATTATGGCACCTACTTCCATCACCATGGACTCACGGATTCCTGTTTTCTTCAGTGGGTGACAGCATGTTCCTACCATTTAGTGTGATGCTCAGATTATTCCAGATTTGACTAGTGGGGTCCTTTCCTGCTGCCCTTCAGCTCCTCTAAGCGCTGGATTACTTTCTGGTTCAAGGTATTCCAGGCTCATCTGCTACCTTCCCTGCTCCGCTGAGAAACCAAGGACTCAGTAGCAGGTGTCCTCATTGCTATGAGGGTGCCAGCGTTCCCAGGCCTCCTCTGTAGGAAGTCAGGGAACATGTCTGTAAGTTTGTGTGTGAACATACACGCACACACATACTTATGGCTCTCTGTATTAACAGATGTAAATGCAGACCTATATTTAAGTATGTACATCTGGACTTATTTATATACACACGCTGAAAACCACGAACTCACCCTGATGCCTCCACTTCCAATCCAACACCAAAGGTTCCTTCTCAGCTTCTCTCACGTATTTGTAACCCTTTTCTCCTATAGGGAGAATCTTGTCTTCGCCACCCCACTCATGGATACCCTGTTCATCTCACTACTGTCACTGCTGTACCAAACCCTATGCAGATGTCTCCTCACCCCAGGCGGGCTCCGAAGCCCTCCCTGGATCACTGCCCCCAGCCCCAGAGGGCAGCTGCCTTGCTCACCCCCACATAATGCCTTTTGGACTGAATTAGGGATGAAGGGAGGAAGGGCACCCGCATTCTCTCTGAGTGAAAGCGGCCCACAGTTACCCTGCGAACTGCCTGCAGCAGGTCTGTCCTTGCTCCGTACTCTGTACGACATCTCCTTCAGTGTCATTTGGCTCTGCTGTCACGAGGGATGTGTAACTTCAAAGGATAGGTGATTAAAGTCACTTTGGCTAGGGTAAATCTGCTTCCACGGTGTGTGTGTGTACACACACCCAAAAGGGCTATTTTCCTATGAAAGAGAGTTCCATAAATCAAGTCAATTTTCCCAGTACTCCAAGCATAGATATTTAATAAGCGTGAGAAAAACTGTAGGACTTGGAGACTAGGAATAATCCAGGAAAGGCTTCAGGGACTCGGAACAGAAACAAACACGGCTCAAGGGACCTACACAAGAACTTGGCAGTCTCAATATATGCTCACAAAGCTGCTGATAAAAAAGATATGGCTGGGATGATGCTGCACTGGGGTAAGCATAGACCTGAGAACATCACCAACTACGCAGCGTTTTACCAATGTAAAAGCATCTGAGAGGGATAGAGATGATAATTAGTAACAGCATGGAAACAGACTGCTAAATATTGAGTTGTGCTTTTCCTATAGCATTCCTGACACCAGACTGAGAAAAGATGCCTCTTCTTCTCATCTCCTGCATCTTGGTACTTGGAACCGGGCCCTCCAGTAGCCCTCCCGGCGGAGCAGACGCAGGCCCCTGGTGAGGTTGCCTCCACAACGCCGGAGCCCGTGTCACAGAAGCCACGGAGGAGGGCAACTAGACCAGACACATTTAGGGAGAAAAATGTCAGTCCCGATTACACCTCAAGTTTTCCCGAAGGGTGCCGTATTTTTAGTAAAGTATGTATTTGAGCCTTAATTCTCCCTCCTTTTAAAATTATAAAAACATTATATTGGGGCGCTTGGGTGGCTCAGTGGGTTAAGCCGCTGCCTTCGGCTCAGGTCATGATCTCAGGGTCCTGGGATCGAGTCCCGCATCGGGCTCTCTGCTCAGTGGGGAGCCTGCTTCCCTCTCTCTCTCTCTCTCTCTCTCTCTCTCTCTCCCCGCCTGCCTCTCTACTTGTGATCTCTCTCTGTCAAATAAATAAATAAAATCTTTAAAAAAAAATAAATAAAATTATAAAAACACTATAAAAATATTCTATCTTCAGACAACTACTAAATGGTTATGGTAAGTCTCAACAATTTATTAAGCCCAACTTAAGAATCCTGGTATTTTTTTTTTTCCCACAAAAAAGGACATAGTGTGAGCTCTGAAATCAGACAGCATATCTTAAAAGTCCTTCATTTTTGTTCCTTTTAAATACATGGGTATTGGGGCGCCTGGGTGGCTCAGTGGGTTAAGCCTCTGCCTTCGGCTCAGGTCATGATCTCGGGGTCCTGGGATCGAGTCCCGCTTTGGGCTCTCTGCTCAGTGGAGAGCCTGCTTCCCCCTCTCTCTCTGCCTGCCTCCCCCTCTCTCTCTGCCTGCCTCTCTGCCTACTTGTG